GGAGGGATTAATGGCCGGAGTTTAGATTTATGGTAAGTGGCAGAAGGTTTAGGTGAGATGTGAGGAAGATCTTTTTCACCCAGTGTGGTGGAAATCTGAGACTCACTGCCTGTAAGGGTGGGACAGGCAGAAACTCTTATAAAGTTTCAGAAGTATTTAGGTGTACATTTGTGATTCTAAGGCATACAAGGCAATGGGCCAAGTGTTGGAAAATGGGATTAGAACAGTTAGTTGGTTGTTTTTGACCAGCCTAGAGTGATGGGCCAAAGGGTCTTTCTCTGTACTGTAGATCTCTGAGACTCTTTGCTGAACATGAATTCCCTCCAAGCCATTCACCATTCTGACTTGGAAATATACCGCAGTTTCTTCAGTGTTGCTGGGTCAAAATTCTGAAATTCTTTCCCTAACACTGTTGTGGGTCTACCTAGAGCTCATGGATTGCAGTGGTTCAAAAAGGCAGCTCACCACCATGTTCTCAAGGGCAAGTAGGGACAGGCAATAAACACTTACCAGCCAGTGATGTCCATGTCCCATGAGTGAATTTTTAAAAAGCATTATTGAGACGAAGTGGGAATGTGGATTTCAAACCTAAATCAATCAGTTATAATCTTTATGAGACTCAAGGGGCCAAATGGACTTCTTCTGTTCCTGTTTCGTATATTCTCTAGCCCTGTTTACTAAAATGCATCACCTCACCAGGAGTGTTGTGTTTCCTGCAATTTAGAAGATTTATGAATGATTTGATTAGAATTTTCAAGATATTAATTGAAGCGGATTGGGGAGATAGAGAGGAATTATTTCCACTGGGTGGGTGAAGTGGGAGCTCAAACACTCTCCTCACTCTTCGTAATTAGACAAAACTCGAGTTTCTTTGTTCACTGTTTATTCAAACATACAAATGAGGAACAAGGGTATGCCACTCAACCTTTCGAGCCTGCTCTGTCACTCCATAAGATCATGGTAGATATGATTTCAACCTCAAATCTATATGCCTGCATATCCCTGATAATCTTTCATCATCTTGGTCATCAAGAACCTATTTCCCTCTGCCTTAAAAATAATGGAAGATTCTACACCCATTGCTTTTGAAGAAGTGAATTCTAAAGACTCTCAACCCTCTGAGAGAAAAGAAATGTTTCCTTATCTCTATTTTAAACACAATCACCCTTATTTTTCAACAGTGATCCCAAGTTCTAGATTCTCCCACAAGAGGAAACATGTTTTCAACATTCAATTGGTCAGGACCCCTCAGGATCTTCTTTGTTTCAATTTAGCCTTTTCTTTCTCTTCTAAACTCTAGATGATACAGACCTAGCCTGTCTAGCCTTTCCTCATAAGACTATCCACTGATTCCAGGCATTTGTCAATTAAACCTTCTCTGAATTGCTTCAAATGTATTAACAACCTTCCATAAGAACAGTGACCAGTACTGAACACAGTACTCCAGATGTTGTCCAATCAGTACACTAGAGGGATTGCACGTATCTGAAGGTGGCCAATGAATTCCCACTTGCTTATAGTAATACTTTTTCAGCAAGCCTAGGTCATTTACATTTATCCAATTACAGACTGACACAGGCTATGGTCAGAGATAACACAATGTGGAGCTGGAGGAACACAGCAGACCAGGTAGCATCAGAGGAGCAGGGAAGTTGATGTTTCGGGACGGGACCTTTTCCTGAAGAAGGGTCCCGACCTGAACCTTCAACATCCCTGCTGCTCTGATGCTGCCTGGCCTGCTGTGTTCCTCGAGCTCCACACTGTGTTATTTCTGACTCCAGCATCTGCAGTTCTTACTATCTCTGACAGGTTATGGTCAGCCAGTTGTACAGTTTGTATTGTTACACAGACAGCATTGTTGTGGTATCACTTGAATGTCTTTTTGTTTCCCCCATTAAACCAGTTGTTTCAGTTTGGAAAGGACTTGATCTTTATGTCTAACATCTGATATTGTTCACTGTGACTGGTAGTGTGTCCAGAAAATTCAGTGTCATGACCAACTCTTCCTTTAGGGGTACCACAGGTGATATATCTGGAAGGCAGCTCAATGCATCTGCATTCACTATTCAGCCTCCCAGACATTGTTCAAATTTATAATTGTAAGCAGTTAATATTAGAGCCCACCACTGAATGTGACCGGAAGCTATGGGCAGCGGAGCCTTATGCTCTTTAAGCAGGGGTTTGTGGTCTGTGATAATACGAATACTCCCCCAGAAAGGTATTGGTGGAACTTTCTGACTCCAACTATGACCGCCAATCCTTCTTTTCTATTTGGGTGTATTTTTGCACTGCATTAGCCAAAGTTCTGGATGCATAAACTATGACAGTCCTCTCCAGTGGGCCACCTATGAGTTAATACCAACTGATGCAATATGGGGAGACATCACATGTCAATACCAAATCTTTTTCGGGATCATAGTGTGCCAACATATTAGAGGATGATAGTTATTTCTTTCATTGAAAGATAGGGTCTGTCTATGAGACCATTTCTAAGGCTGACGCTGTTTTAGGAGTTGATGCAATGGTCACTACATATACATGGTCTTAAATACACTCAGTTTAAATAACCGCTTCAGGGATAATCCCAAGACTTCTGGTCTGAGACAAACACTAACTGCTCATTCTAACGTAATCCAGTTCACTATATCTCTTTCTGTCTTTGGAACACTGTTCTGCACAGCCATCTTTTTCCAAATATCTCACAGCACTGTTTAAAACTCAAAACTGAAACCTAAAACCTCCCCTCTCTAAACTATGGGCATTTCACTTAATTGTTTCATGAAAGGAGTTTTGGAAGTCTCCACGAAACCTTGAGGCCCCATTGTTTTTTTCTGTCTGGATCACAAGACAGTCAAACATAAACAAAAAAATTCATCAGTTGGTCCACACACATTCAGTCCACAGTCAGGCCTCAAAAACTGCTTTAAAAGAAATCACCGTGACTACAGTAATGCATACAAGTTGATTATTAGCTTCAGACACAGAAACATACCAGTTATTAACTCAAAATCCAAACCAAAATTACAATATCTATATGCACAAAAGGTTAATATGAAGTAAGATCACACAGAGTGGGGTGTAATTTATTACCTTGGATGCAGGATTGACAAACCAGCAGAAAGCTTGGAATAAATGGGTCTTTTTCCAATTGGTAACTAGTGGGGTGCCACAGTGTTCAGTTTTCAGGCCCCACCTATTTAGAATCTACGTCAATGACTTGGATATGGAGATAGAAAGAACTGAAGATAAATTTGAACATGATGTAAAAAAATGGTTGGGAAAGTGAAGTTGCAACAAGAAATAAGAAATTTACAAATAGATTTGGATAGGTTAGGTGAATAAATAAGAATTTAGCTGATGAATGTAAATGGGGCTAAGTGTAAGTTTGTTGATTTTGGTCAAAGGAATAGAAAAGCAACTTAAATGTGTAAATGGAAAACAATTTCAGAGTGCTTTGCAGTAGAGGGATCTGAGTATCCTTGAGCATTAACAACAGAAAACTCAGATGCAGGTACAATAGTTTCTAGGGAAGGCAAATATAAATTTGGCATTTATTGTGAAAGGAGTAGAGTATTACAGTAGGGAAGTGTTGATGTAACTGCACAAGGCATTAGTCAGACTGCACCTGAAATAATGTGTATAATTTCGGTCTATACTTGAAGAGGGATGTATTTGTCTTTGGAGGCAGTTCAGAGAAGGTTCACTAGATTGAGTCATATAGTTATACACTGCAGAAATGAACCTTTCAGTCCAACTTGTCTATGCTGACCAGATATCCCAAACTGATCTAGTCCCATTTGCCAGCATTTGGGCCATATCCCTCTAAACCTTTTCTATTAATGTACCCATCCAGATGCCTTTTAAATGTTGTAATTGTACCCGTCTCCACCACTTCCTCTGGCTGGTCGTTCCAACCACACAGCACCCTCTACGTGAAAAAGTTGCCCCTCTGGTCCCTTTGAAATCTTCCCCTCTCTTCTTAAAACTATGCCCTCTTATTTTGACCTCCCCTACACTGGGAGAAAGACCTTGGCTATTTACTCTATCCATGCCCCTTATGATTTTATAAACCAGTATAAGGTCACCCCTCAGCCTCCAATGCTCCAGGGAAAGTAGCCTGAGCGTATTCAGCCTCGTCCTGTAGCTCAAATCCTCCAAACCTGGCAACATCCTTCTAAATCTTTTCTGAACCTGTTCAAGTTTAACAACATCTTTCCTACAGCAAGAAGAGCGGAATTGAATACTAAAAGTATTCTAAAAGTGGCGTACCCAATGTTTTGTACAGCCACAACATGGTGTCCCAACTCCACTACGCAACGTAGACAAGAGTGCCAAATACTACCTTCACCACCCTGTCAACTTCCAACTCCTCTTTCAAGGCACTATGCATCTGCACCCCTAGGTCCCTTTTGTTCAGCAGTACTCCCCAGAGCCCTACCATTAACCGTATAAGGCGTGCCCTGATTTGCCTTACCAAAATGCAACACCTCACATTTATCTAAATTAAACTCCATCTGCCACTCCTCAGCTCATTGGCCCATCTGGCCAATATCCTGTTGAACTCTCAGATAATCTTCTTCACTGTCCACTGCACCACTAATTTTAGTGTCATCTGCAAAATTACTAACCATACTTCCAATATACACATTCAAATCGTTTATATAAATGATGAGAAACAGTGGACCTAGTACCAATCCTCACAGCATACCACTGGTCACAGGCCTCCAGTCCAAAAAGCAACCTTCCACCGCCATCCTCTGCCTCTTGCCTGTAGAATTTTGGTTTGCGATCAGTAATTTGCTGATTTTAGATAGTTCAAATCATCCCCAGATCCCTGGTTCTGACACGGGACTTATTGAGGAATGTGAAACGAAGAAGATGTTTCAGGGCAAAAGAATCTCTACATTTATTTAAATGCAAAAGGTAAATATAATACATGAAATAAAGGCAAATGTAATAAACAGTGAAATTGACCGATCAACTACACAGAGGACAGTAATTAAATACACTATCAAATTAAACATAGGTTAAACACTTCTAGAAGCTAAACAGAAACTTTATTCCGGCTTCCTACCCTGCACTGTCACCATCAGCCTTCTCTTAATTGCTAGCCAGATTGGATACTTTGGGGTCTCGGGAGTTTAAGCTCACCAGTGGGGAAAAATGCGATTTTGAATTAGAGCTGTCTGTTCTCGCTTGCCGTACCGGTGCCTTGATGAAGGCTTTGGACTGTGTCGGCCTTCAGTCTGGGTTGAGTCCATTGATGCAGTAGGACGTGTTTTGGATTTATCAGGTGAGTACTTGGTCTTCCTTACTTTATGGTGGTTTTGCGGGCCGTTTCTCACCTCAGGATGTGCCTGAGGCCTTGCGGTGTCAGTCAGGTCAGAGGTTTTTGGACGTTGTCGGTTGTTTAGTCTGTAGGCCATGGTCGGTTACCATTCATTCCTCTGGTACGGAACAAGCCTGTGTCAGGAGTTTTCGGATTTGCTATTGGGATCCCTTTTCTAGAGATAGCAGTGCAAATAGCTCTCGGTTATATAGCTCTTTCGGATTCTTCTCCTGGAGATGGCTGTTGAGATCGCTCTCGGGATGGTAGCTCCTTGGGATCCCTCTCCGGGTTTTAGCAGCGGGGAGATAGCTCTCTCAAGTGAGATCGGGGTCTGCAATTATACTAATTGCACGCCTCTTATCTTTGCGCAAATCTGTGCTTGCCGTTGTATTACTGGTCAATACAGTGTGAAGCTGGAGGAACACAGCAAATCAGGCAACATCAGAGAAACAGTAAAGTCGACGTTTTGGGTCGCGACCCTTCATCAGGACCATCTCACTGTGTTACTGGTGTTCCGTTTGAGGTTAGTTGGCTTCCTGACAATTAAGGGTATGTGTAAATGTATTTTGATTGAGGTTGAATGCCCGATATATCTCTGAATGAATATTGATTGAAGTTGAATGTCGTGGTATCTGTATAGGTTTGATAGTGTCTGGTTTGGGGTACCCCGAGGGGTAAAAGTTGGTTTTCAGTCTAGATTGTTGGGTTTAGTCGATCTCTCAGAGCCGAGGTGTGGATTGGATTTTTGGGCTGAACAAAGATTCCAAGCAGCCACCTATGTTACTGTGTATTTTTCCCAGATCATAGCCCAGTTGTCCTTTATTTTCACTTTTAAAGTTGTGAAAAATCCGGTGTTTTGGTCCAGTATTTTAGATGATAGGGATTTTTGCTCAATTCTGCATGCCTTCAAAACAATTTTGTATCTAGTTTGCTAGCTCCCCTAGAGCCCATGTGATCTTGTCTTACTAACCAGTCTAACATGCAGAACTTCGTCGAATGCTTTGCTGAAATCCACATAGACAACATCTACCATTTTGCCTTCATCAATAGTCTTTGTCACCTCTTCAAAAATGTCAATCAAGTTAGTGAGATACGATTTCCCATGCATAAAGCCGTGTGGACTATCCTTGATCAGTCTTTGCGTTTCAAAATGCATGTAATTCCTGTTCATCAGAATCCCCTCCAACAACTTTCCCAAAACTAATGTCAGGTTCATTAGTCTATAATTCCTTGGCTTTTCCTTACCTTTCTTAAATAATGGCACCACATTAGCCAACCTCCAGTCTTCTGGCACCTCACCTATGGATATTGATGATACAAATATCTCAGCAAGGGGCCCAGCAATCTGAGCCAAAACTTTCAAAATTAGGAAACACTTTGTTGGATAAATTTGGTAGAAGCTTGGAACTGTCTTCCTCAAACAGCATTTCATGATATGTCAATGTTAATAGAAAATCAGACACGGATGGACTTTTGCTGACTCAAGGTACTCGGGGACATGGGGCATAGATCAGCCATGATTTCATTGCATAGTGGAACACATTTAATGGAATAAATCACCAACTCCTGGTATGATGGAATCTTACAGGCCGAGAATTCCAGATCTTGATAACTGTGTTGGTCCAGAAACATTTGAGCTCAATTTTGAGTCCAAAGGTTGTAAAATGCCAAATCAGAAGATGAGTTCCCACTGAACTTCGTAGGAATAGCACTGGAGGCTGAGGACAGATAGGTCAGAGTGAGAGTGGGTCAGAGAATTAAAATGACAAGTGACCAGAAGCTAAGGGCCCAGCTTGCAGAATACATGGACATTTACCACAAGGTGATCAGCCAATCTGTGTTTGATTTTCCCAATGTATACAATGAGCATTGAGTTTGGTCACTAAATTACATGAAATACAATTAAATCACTTTTCGCTTTCATCTCAAAAAAAAATATGGTGAAAAGCCATAGGAAATGTCCTTTATTTGCAGGGTGGGTTACATAATTGTTATAAATATTTCTTATAATATGGAAAAAATATTTTACAAGACAAAGAAAAACAACCATCAGAACATTAAATTCTATGCCAGTTTTTTTTTAGTATCAGCAGAAATAAACCTCACTCTCAGTGAGAACATGGTACAGTCCTAGATGTGACTAACAGTAAAATCCAACCCTGCAGTCACCGCAGAGCTCCACTGGTTCTCAGTGGGTTGGATATTTGATTAAATCCCTGCATAAATGTTCTGAGCAAGCAAACAGCCTCTCTCAAGTGTGAACTGTTTGGTGAATATCATGAATTCACTGTTTGGTGAATAACACCAGCTGCTGTTATCCTTACGACTATTGTGGGTTTGGGAGATAGTATTAAAATTTTATTAATTTGGAGACGTTCCTCTTGTCTCTGTGAATTAAACTTAAGTTTTTTTGCGATAGAAATTCACTCAAAAATAATTTCCAATATCACTCAAACTATGGAGAGAAGAATCTTTCATAATTGAATACAATTTTGCACGCACAATAGCTAGATCAATCAACATGCTTCTTGATGATGTGACAGAAGGATTTGGGATAGTTACAGAATCACTTCTATTTCTATTTAACGCAGTGTTAAACGCTTCATCTTACTCCCGTATAACTGGCACCTTTTCCTTTTTTACTGCACCAGTGGAAATAGATGATTCCCATATATGGTCATCTGCGGACAGGAATGTATTGTTCGGTTTAGTTTGTAAGCGATTTTGATCCTCTCTGTGCGAGTGTACTTCAGGTATGACAAAAACGCCTGGTTAGTGGGACAAGTACTTTGGAAAGTTTACTTTATTTTCTCTTCGAGCAATTATTTCTGAATGGGTAGTATAGCCTTCTTTTTGTGCTGCCCTATAGAATTTTCCACAGCAATGGCCGTGTCCCTTCCCATAATACCGAGCGGTCAGAAAAGTGTTCTGACCCCTTCTTTACGCAGCTGCTGAGAATGCGCGTGCTCCGGGGATGGGCGCGGGGTATTGTGGGCAGTTCCTTTGTTGCGAGTCGGACTCGGTGGAAGCGGCGGGGAGGGCGAAAGAGGCTTTGTCCCGGAGACAGAGGGATGTAGTAAACCTCGGGCCAAACGTGGACAAAGACAGTTTCAGAGGTGAGGGTGACGTCCCAATGTCACCGCAGCAGTTGACTGTGTGGCATCAAGAGACCCAGTAAAATTAAAATCATTGGGAATCGGGATGAAATCTCTGCCTGGAGTTAGTCCTTGCTCAAAGGGAGTCGGTTATGGTTAAGAAATAACACGGTGCGGAGCTGGAGGAGCACAGAAGGCCAGGCAGTATCAGAGGAGCAGGAAAGTTGACGTTTCGCGTCGGGGCCCTTCTTCAGAAATGCTTGTTTATTCATTTGTGGGCTATGGGTGGCGCAGAATGGCCAGCATTTATTGCCTGTCCCCAGTTGCCCTTGAGAAGGTAGTGGTGACCTGCCTTCTTGAACGGCTGCAGCCCACCTGCTGTGGGTTGACCCACAATACTGTAAGGGAAGGAATTCCAGGATTTTGACCCAGTGACAGTGAAAGAACAGTGATACATTTCCAAGTCAGCATTGAGAGTGGCTTGGAGGGGAACTTGAAAGGGTGGTGTTCCCATATGTCTGCTGCCCTTGTCCTTCTACATGGAAGTGGTTGTGGGTTTGGAAGGTGTTGCCTGAGGATCTTTGGTGAATTTCTGCAGTGCAACTTGTAGATAGTACATGCTTCTGCTACTGAGCATCAGTGGTGAAGGAAGTGGATGTTTGTGGATGTGCCAATCAAGCATACTGCTTTGTCCTGGATGGTGTCAAGCTTCTTGAGTGTTGTTGGATTTGCACTCATCCAGGCAAGTGAGGAGTATTCCATCACACTCCTGACTTGTGCCTTGTAGATGGAAGATAGGCTTTCCGGAGTCAGGAGGCGAGTAACTCCCCGCAGCATTCCTAGCCTCTGACCTGTTCTTGTTACCACTGCATTTATGTGGCGAGTTTCTGGTCAATGATAATCCCCAGGATGTTGATAGTGGGGGCTTCACTAATAGTAACACTATTGAATGTCAAGGGGTGGTGGTTACATTGCCTCTTGCTGGTGATGGTCATAGCCTGGCATTTGTGTGGTGTGAATGTTACTTGCCACTTGTCAACCCAAGTGTAGACATTGTCCACGTCTTGTTGCATTTGACCATGGACTGCTTCGGTATCTTAGGAGTTGCAAATGATGCTGAACATGTACTCACTGGCGAACATCCCGACTTCTGACCTTATGGTGGAGTGAATGTCATTGATGAAACAGCTGAAGATGGTTGTGCCTAAGACACTACCTTGCAGAACTCCTGGAGAGATGTCCTGGAGCTGAGTTGACTCACCTGCAACAACCATGACCGTCTTCCTATGTGTCAGGTATGATTCCAACCACCGAAGAGTAAGCCCATCGATTTCAGTTTTGCTAGCGCTCTTTGATGCCACACACAGTCAAATGCAGCCTCGATGTCACGGGTTGTCACTGTCACCTCTGGAATTTGGCTCTTTTGTCCATGTTTGAACCAAGGCTGTAATGAGGTCAGGACATGTGTGGCCCTGGAGGAACCCAAACTGAGCATCATAAAGAAGGTTATTGCTGAGCAGGTGCTGCTTGACAGCATTGTTGATGACACATTCCATCACTTCACTGATGATCGAGAGCAGACTGGGTTGGTAATTGGCCAGGTTGGATTTGTCCTGAGATAGTAGGAACTGCAGATGCTGGAAAATCTGAGATAACAAGGTGTAGAGCTGGATGAACACAGCAGGCCAAGCAGCATCAGAGGAGCAGGAAGGCTGACGTTTTGGGCCTAGACCCTTCTTCAGAAATGGGGGAGGGGAAGGGGGTATTGAAATAGGGAGAGAGGGGGAGGCGGATAGAAGATGGATAGAGGAGACAGACTGGTCAAAAAGGCGGGGATGGAGCCAGTAAAGGTGAGTGTAGGTAGGGAGG